ATCACTCACTACTCCTACTCCTACTCTACTCCTACTCCTACTCCTACTCCTACTCCTACTCCTACTCCTACTCCTACTCCTACTCCTACTACTACTACTACTACTACTACTACTACTTCTGCTCTACTGCTACTGCTACTGCTACAGCTACTGCTTCCTCCTGCTGCTGCTGCTGCTACTACTACTAGTAGTAGTAGTAGTAGCAGCAGCAGCAGCAGCAGCAGGAAGCAGTAGCTGTAGCAGTAGCAGTAGCAGTAGAGGAGTAGTAGTAGTAGTAGTAGTAGTAGTCGTAGTCCCACTACTACTTCTGCTACTACTTGTTGTCGTTGTTGTTGCCTGTTGGGCTTATAGGGTGTGTATTACTTCGCATCACAACGACATTCAGCCCCGATGCTTGGATTGTAAGTCACATGCAAAACTCTTGCAATACCGACCTAAACCCTACACCTTAAACCCTAAGCCCTAAGCCCGAAAGCTGCAAAGCCCCGCATCTCTTGGCTGCTACAGCGATACCATAGAAGGGTCGGTCAAGTTTATTTTGGTATAGCTATATCTTAGTGGAAATATACTACAGTATACTTATAGTAGGGTAGAAGTAGACCAAGGAAGTAAGGAAAAGTACCGGTAATGTGTCTTTTTTTGTGAATGCGCCACTGCTCGTGATGCCGTTACCGACAGCATCAAAACTCGCACTACTTGCTGCTCCCTTGACCTCAAGCACAGGCATGCTGCACCTTCGACGTTGAAGCCCTCACCCTCACATCCACAACTGCCATGGCTGCTTGTCTTTACGCCCGAAGCCCTCAATCCAAGAAACAAACCCCCAGGACCCCTTTTTTCCCGAACCCCCCCACACCCTAAGCCCCAAGCCTAAGCCGAAGGTCCCAGCCCAAGGCTTCGAACCTTTGACCCGGGAGCCTCAAAGCCGAAACCCCCACTTTTTGTAGTACCCTTATTGGGGTCCCCAGTGTAGTACGGCACCCCCTCAAGGGGACCCTAATTTAGACAACTAGCCACCTTAAACCCTAAACCCTAAACCCTAAACCCTAAACCCTAAACCCTTGTAAAAAAGGACCCTCAAGGGGACCCTAATTTAGAAAACTAGCCACTTTGCCTTGCGTGATCATGGGATCCTCCCTGTGCCTATCGGGCGAAGACTTGACCTGCAGTGCGCATTCCACGGTGCACGAATGTCGCTTCCCGCTCTGGGCTGTGAAGGCTGGAAGGGGGGTTTATTATAGGGGCCTACATACTTACCTATACTCATACTCTTTTGGGGGTTCCCTACCCTAAACCCTAAGCCCTAAACCATATACTAATACTCTTTTGGGGGTCCCCTTATGTTTCATGTAGCATGCTGGGCCCCGAAACTCCTTGTTCTAAATCTTAGGGCCCCTAAAGAACCTACCTTTTTAGGGCTCGTTACATAAGTAGGTTATTTGGGGTTAAGGTAAAGGCCCCTACCTTAGGTTCAACCGGAGTTGGGAGCCCCGAGGTTTCAGGGTTGTGATTCATTCTTGCTCTTTGCTTCCGTTTTTGGGTTTAGGGTTTAGGGTTTAGGGTTTAGGGTTTAGGGTTTAGGGTTTAGGGTGTAGGGTTTAGGGTTTAGGGAGCCGTTTTTGGGCAGTTCTCTACAATTAGGGTCCCCTGTTCGAGGCCTTTTTAAGAAGGGTGCGGTACTCTTCTGGGGACTTAAAAAAGGGAGCCTAATTTAGAGAGCTAGCCCTTTTGTCCATCGTTTTCATGCGCTTCGCTGCGAAGCGCGCCTTGGGAACTCTCAGTGTTCAAGGGCTCTGAGACATCGCAGGTTTCAAGGGTTAAGCCCTGCAATTCCAGAAACAGCGCTCCCTGAGTTAGGGTCTAGGGTTTAGGGTCCAGGGTCTAGGGTTTAGGGTCTAGGGTTTAGGGTCTAGGGTCTAGGGTTTAGGGTCTAGGGTTTAGGATTTATGGTCTAGGGACTCGTTCAACCCCCCACCACAGCAAGCCCCTCCTGTTCTCGAAACCCCACGTTCGCAACGCCTCAAAAAAGCTAAGCCTACCCTCCAAACAACATGATGAAACCCTAACCTCTCCTCAACCCTAACCCCGATACTCTCAACCCGACCAGCCCGAATGCTTGCAAATACTGCAACCTTAGATATGACATGGTTGAAGCCCCTGTGTTTTCTCCCTGAGGCCTATACCCTAAACCGTAAACCCCTAAACCCTAAAAGCCCTAAACCCTAAAACCCTAAACCCCTAAGCCCTAAGCCTCTAAACCCCTAAACCCTAAACCCGAAACCAGAATTTTGTTTTGAATCCTTCGGTCCTTTTCCCTGGGGGAGGTGTCCGACTTCCTCATGATGACCGGGCCACCGGAGTCGCATGGCGCCTTGAAGGAGAAGGACTTGCTCCATGAGTGGCCTGGGTTTTGCCAGTAGATAGACCCTGTCTGTTTGTGGGGTTTAGGGGTTTGGGGGTTTTAGGGTGTGGGGTTTAGGGTTGAGGGTTTTGCGCTGATTGTTTTGGGGTTCCCTAATTCAAACCGAAGACTGCTAGTAGGAAAAAGGGTAGTTTGATTATTGAGGGCGACTGGGAACCCAGGTGGTACCCCGAAATGTTCGTGATCTTTGTCTCACATCAGTGGCTGAGCTCTGTGCATCCCGACCCTTCAGGGCATCAGGTGGGTGGGCGGTTGAAAAAGGTGCTTACGGTCAGAATAGCCTGAAGCAAACCCTAAACCCTAAACCCTAAACCCTAAACCCTAAACCCTAACTATACTCTATACCTTAAAATAGAAAAAGGGACCGGGGCTGCGAGTGAATCTGAAGGTCCAAGTTCTGCAGCAAGCGCTCCGCGGCATCATCGATGGCACTATGCAGGTGCATGACCACGGTTTAGGGTTTAGGGTTTAGGGGTGCATGGCTGTGAGGGCTTTCGTGCTTGGGATTTTGTGTCTAGCTTCCGGCCGTGATGCTTTAGCTTCCAGGTAGTTGGAGTGTAAGGGTTCGAGCTTAGTGTCCAATATGGGAACCCGATTAAGACATCTTGGGTCTTTATTAGGGTTCCTATGTAATATGAATCCTAATATTTTGGGGTAATAGGGCCGGGGTTTCTTCATCAGGTTTCTACATTAGTGCGGGTTCATGGCTTGGGTTCTAAGGTTATGTCCGGCTCGAGGATGTAACCTCTCGGGTGCCAGCTCCGTGAGATTTGTCAAAAGTGGGGAGTTCTGGAGCTCGAGATGTTGCAGTTTTTCGTGTCTGTCTGCAGCCATGGCCAGCACTGCACCCCTTTTTTGCTCGATGCTCCGTAGGGATTTGAATAGGACCAGCCGGGCAAGACACAAAAATTGCAAATTCTTGGCCACGTCTTCTGAGCAGCAGCAGGAACAGTGTTCAGCAGGAGGACCATGGTCGCTTTTGCCGGTCCGACCTGTGGCCAACATTTTGTAGGCTTTTGGCTTCGAATCTTCATCCGTCTGCTGACAAACCCAGCCATCCTTCGGGTGTGGGATCCTCGTCCCTTTACGCTGTTTTGCCGGACAAATTGAATGGATCGCTAGAGGACATGGAACTGGACGAAATGCATCCGGCATAGGCATTGCCTGCCTGCGATTTTTGGCCAAGCTTGGGTTGGATTGAAATGCTTCCGTACTGCGTCTGTGCAGCAGGACAAGGTGGCGAAGGTCCAACTTCGCTGGGTGGGCTCTGCTGTTGCACTCTAATGAAACAGATTTTCCTGTAGGATCTGTTTGCCACAGACGGAACCAAGACGTGTCGATATCTAGCGGGTCTTTTGTGCACAAGCAGATTTATTATGAGATGTTAAGCCTTGGTCGCACCTGTGTAGAGGACAAGCTGCCACACCACCAAACGCATTTCAACATGCATTTGGACTGGATGTGATTTTCAAGCAAAGGAGGTGCGGCGGGCAGGACAACAACTCGAGGGTTTTTCTTTGCCTTGCTCCACGTGGGTATTGGCTTTCAAGCACTGCGAGGTCCATTGCCGAAAGTGTACGACAAAAGCAGTTGCTGATGCACCAGCCGATTCACCTTCAGCAATGTACAAAATTGTTTGGCGAGCGAGCCTGCAGCGAATTTTGAAAACTGAGGCAGGTGGCAAGGTTCCTGCGAGGCAGTAGATTCAAGCGACAGCTGAGTTGATTGCTCGAGCATTTGACTGCGGAACAGAGACACATTGGCGATGAGACTTGATGTCATGTGGGGTTCTGAAAGCGTTGGTTGGCGCATGTCGGACGGACTCTGGTTTGTTTTGTGTGTAGGCGGTGAATGTCGGGTGGTCAAACGCTCTACCATGCAATGGAAGGGTTTGTGTCCCTTCAAGGCAGGTGCTCCAGCACCGTCGGTTTGCGTTAGACGGTAGGTGACCACGGCTTGGATTGGTTGGTTGCAGTGTGCCGTCTAATCAGCTGCGCGCAACAGAGCGTTTAATGGTAGGTTCGAGCACTCCAATGGTCACGTCGCCCGGCAAGTTGCGAATGCTCACAGCTTCAGGTGCACGAGTCGCTCATCGCTCGGTCGGATGATAAGAACCTCTCGGCCAAGACCCGGGAGTGCATCGCCGACGGCTTCATCTTCTTCGATTGGTTCGCGATACCCCAGATCACAGCAGCCGGGCTCCCGTTGAAAGCTTTACTTCGTAGGTGGCAATAAGAAATGAAGAGGTATCATTTTTGCTTTATATGTATATATATACACATATATATATATACACACAAACAGCTTGATACATACATATATATATATATATACACAGTATATATATATATATATGTATATGGCGGCATACACCAATGTGGCTTCCCAAGATCCCAGGCCAGGAAGCACGGGGTGAATGAAGAGACCACGAAGAGCGATGCCGCCCTGGCCGTTCAAAGCATCCCGGCCTACGTGGAGCTGTCGAACCTCTTCATCGCCTTGGTACCGGAGCTGACGCACAAAGATTCTGGGTTTTTTTATCCTTAACTTTCGTATTTTTCCTCGTTTTGTTCGAAAGCATGAGAGTTGATATATATATATATATGTCCTCATTGAAGTACCTTCATAGACCTAGAATGATGCAATAGCTCAATTTCAAAGCCTGCTGAACAATGTTGCTGCCTTTTAAGAAACAGCCTAGTACTTGAAGAACCCGCATTTAATAATAGCCCACAAAATTTCAGTACTTGACACAGCATACAGCCAGTAGAAGCCAGCGCTAGCACAGGATTCGTCGGAGCCGGTGAATTACTCGTCCTGGCTATCGCGAGGGTGGCTTGGCCGGCACACAAAGTCACAGGCATCATCGAAGTTTCGTTTAGGGTTCAGGGTTTAGGGTTTAGGGTTTAGGGTTCAGGGTTCAGGGTTTAGGGTTTAGGGTTTAGGGTTTAGGGGCTTCAAAAACTAGAACAGGGCCTTGGGGTAGAACATTATTGTCCCGTCACGATATTAGGAGTATGAGGGTGTGGGGAAGATCACTCAGCGGGAATTCGGGTATTGCTCATAAACCCTAAACCCTAAACCAAGAAACAACTCGCTGCAATGCTGTTTTGGGATGTCTGGTTCCATCCTTACAGCGACAACCCCGTTGATCGGCGCAGTGCACGGCAGCAATGACAAAGGTCGGGATTGTCCTGCGTTCCGGTACCTCCTAAGGGAACTTGCTAGTGGACAGCTGAAATGTTATGAAAATCTCCAACGTTGAGAATGATTCTCAGGTGGTGTCGCGCAGAGCTGTGGTGTCGGCTGCTGTCAAACAAGTTCGACACCTCCGTCGTCGTTGTTTACACGCCGACAGAGGCTGAGTTTATGTTTCCGCTCGATTGGCAGCACAATAGCACCGTGGATGGAAACATTCCGATGCCCACCCTTCCCTTTGCCCTGAAGTCAGACATTCCAAGCCAAACTCCCAGCCAGCAGAGCTTAGTGGAGTACATCCACAGGTTTAGGTGTAAGTTTTTGGATGAACCCCCCCAACCTCTAATTGAACCTACATTGAAAGACTTCGAAGGAACCCAAAAAAGGAGACGGTCTAGGAACCCTTAACGCTCTAGAGGAATTCGAAAGGAGCCCTTCAACATCTGTGATTACTCTACGTCGAAGGACCCCCTTTAAGGAACCGATTTAAAGGAACCTCCAAGTAACCCTGAAACAAAGGCATCGTGGAGGGCAACTTCACAGTGGAAGCCGATCGGGCGGAGGTCGTTCGCCTGGGGCAGATCTTGGGCTCTGATTAAAGCAGCCAGAATGGGGCTCCATAGTAAATCTATAGTAATTAGTATGGCTGCATGAGTACACATTACACTTGTTGTTGAGGAACAGGGTTTCAGTATCCGTGGGAGGTGCAATTCGTAAATATTTTGAGTCCCTGATTCAAGCAACTTAAATTTAAACACCTGGGACCTCCAAGCTTTCAGAAAACCCTGCAAAAGTCCTGTGCAGTGTAGGTCTAAGTCTGTCGCAAGAACCCTCATAATGCTTGAAAAGCGCATATAAAGCTCGTGTAAAAAGTCGCAGAATCTCTTCATCTACGATAGCCTCACATTCAGTTCCTTCCGAAGAGCTCAGGATCGTCGTGGAAAGCAAAATCCGACACTTGCAGCAGTTTGGTCCCCTGAGCCATTACCGCTTCTACCTGGCCCTTCGCCCGAAGCTCCTGCAACAGGAACGGCCGCCCGGCTGCTCCGGAAAAAGAGTCCCTAGCTGTCGTCTGGAGAATGAACCAGGAGATCGTCGTAGAATGTGCCCTTACTTGGAGGTTCATGGGTA